TTTTCTGATGAAGGGTCTAGGCCCGAAACGTCAGCCTCTCTGCTCCTATGATGCTGCTTGGCCTGCTGTGTTCATCCAGCCCTGCACCTTGTTGTCCAAGACAAATACAAGCCAGCTTTTAAATACAAGTTCCAACCCGACTCATACCGCATTTCTTTCAGGATTGTTTATCGGTTTCTTAATCAGATGTCCTTATTTTCTACAGCTAAAACTTAAATTCCTAAAACTAATATTCTAAAACATATGAATTATGAACGAGATACTCAGGTTTGATATAAGACCATAAGAACATGTAGCAATTCAGCCCCTCAATCCTGCTCCACCATTTAATATGATCATAGATGATCTCATGTTGGCACTTTCCTGCCTACTTCCCATAACCCTTCAACCTATTACTACGTAAAAATCGGCCTATCTCTTCCTTAAATTTTTTCAGTGTCCCAGCATCCACCACACTCAAGTGTACCGAATTCCACAGATTCACAATCCTTTGAGAGAAATGAGATCCTCCTCATCTTGGTTTGAAATCAGCTGTCCCTTGGCATAAAATTATGATCTCTCATTCCAGATTGCCCAAAAATGGTAAATATCCACTCTGCAACACTACATCCTCTATACTTTGTCAACCAACTTTAGCAACTTTTAGAGTTCAATCAGATCTTCACTTATTCTTCTTAATAGCTCAATCCTTTCATCTCTGGAATTACATAGTGAACTGCCTCCAGTGAAATTACATAATTACTCAAGTAAGTGGATCAAAAATGTACAGTTCCTCCTGATGAGCTCAGTACCACTGCCTTTTTTTTTGAAAGGAAGCAGTTAATTTGGGCAGTTCTTATTTCCAAAGCTTTTCACTGGCAGAATGCAATTCAAATATTTTTAACTAATTCAGTATTGGTCTTACTTGGCCCATATATTGGAGGTGTAGAGCATGTGAAGTGATCAACAATAAAGTGAAAGTGTTTAGCTTTCCTGAAGTAGGAACATAAGAAATAAGAAATAAGAGCAGCAGTCATCCTCTTAACCCCGCACCACCGTTCATTAAATTTCAGAGCTGATCTGTCCCAGACCTCAGCTCCTCTACTGATCAATATGCATTATTCATGCCTTTTAAGGTGAGTTTTTTATTCTATTTAGAATCATCGAATTTCTACAGTATGGAAGCAGGCCATTTGGTCTATGGTGTCCACACCAACCCTCTGAAAAGCATCCCACCCAGACCCAGCCCCCTACCTTATCCCTGTAACCCTGCATTTCCCATGGCTAATCCACCTCCCCTACACAGCCATGGTCACTATATGCAATTTAGCACAGCCAAACCACACAACCTGCACATCTTTGAACTGTGGGAAGAAACAGGAGCACCTGCAGGAAACCCACACAGACATGGGGAGAATGTGCAAACCTCCACATAGTTGCCTGAGGGTGGAATTGATCACCAGATCCCTGGTGCTGTGAAGCAGCAGTGCTAACCAGAGTATTCAATAAACTGGCAGCTGAAGAAATTGCTGTCAGTGAAGCATGCAAAGCCAGTTTGTAGGTCCAAGTCTGATTTACTTAGGCTGAAGGGAGTGTGATGAGGACTGTATCAAGGGGAATGGCCAAGATAATAGAGAGAATGGTTCTATTGAGTCAAACAAAGGAGCAGCTGCAAAAATGTTTTGTGGACCAGACGGTGGTGTGATGGCTCAGTGGTTAGCACTGCTGCCTCACAGTGCTGTGACCCAGGTTCAATTCCACTCCTGAGCAACTGTCTATATAAAATTTAAATATTCTCCCCATGTCTGCATGGGTTTCCTCTGGATGCTCCAGTTTCCTCTGACAATCCAAAGATATGATGGTTAGGTGGATTGGCCATCCTAAATTGCCCATAGTGTCCAGGGATGTGTAGGCCCGGTGGATTACCCATGGTAAATGCAGGGTCACAGGGATAGTGTAGGGAATCGGTCTGGGTGAGGTGCTCTTCGGAAGGGACAGTGTGTACTCGATGGGCCAAATGGCCTGCTTCCACATTGTAGGGACTCTATGGTTTCTATCACCAAAGGCAGGTCAGCTGGGATTCTGAAAGTGCGGTTACAAATGAACTGAGGGATGGTTGTTTTCCAGGGCATGAAGGAAGTAGGTTTGGGGTGCGTGGAAGCAGGATGTGGATGGACAGTGAAACAAACAAATATCAGTGGTCCTGATCTGTGTTTGACAGAGGGGGACGAGCAAGACCATATTAGTTAGGAAGGTCAAAGTCACGGCTGTGAATATAAGTTGGGGAGCTTACATGGAGGGACAGATTTAGGAATGATAGACAGCAGGGTAGGATAGGGAGGAGATGAAGAGGATGTTGGGAGTCTGGACCTCTCTCATTATATTTAAAAATACTTAGATATGCATTTGAGATGCTGTGATAGATGTGGTTACAATGCAAAAGCTGGAAGGTGGGATTTGACCCTTTCTCAATGGCACAGAGATGACGGGCCAAATGGCCTCCCATTACTTATATCTAATTCTTTCTCTTTGCAGATTTAGCTTTCCATTTAAGAATATCTTTGCC